TGTAATTTTTACTGTGTAATGTTGATCATTTCCTTTTGTATTGCTGCGCCTTAATTAATGAAAATGTTGACTCTACATCGTACCAGTTTTCCCTATACTCTAAAATTTGTTCCTCAGAAAAGATTACATAAACTAAATTAATCATGAACCATTTGAAATGCACTGATTTTATTAATTTATCCGGGCTTTAAACCTCTGGTTTAATTTGTTAAGCAATAAATTAATGGAAGCTGAATCAAACGTTTCATAATTTTAATAATTTGTTTGATAGGTTATTGTTGGTACCCGGATATTTTATACCTGGAAAATTCACATACTGTATGTACTATTCATGAAAATTAGAAATATTTCAAAAAGTTAAAAAAAATTGCAAAATAACTGATTAAAGCATGGAATAACCTAACTCAAATTTAGAAAAATAAAATCTATCTATTTATCAGTTTAAAATATTTGGATTAAAAAAAAAATAAAAAACTTTTTAAAAAAATTGAATTTTACAATCTTTTGCATTTAATTTGATAATACTTATGATATACTATTCTTATAATTCGATTTAATTGCAAACGTCCCATATGTCTTTTTAAAACTTCAATTTACATTTATGAACAAGTCCCTTGCTGATACCATAAAAACATACTTTTAAAGATCGGTTAGACCCAAAGAACCAGTTTTGGAATTCAGATTTCTTTCGGGGACTGAATTAAAATCCAAAGATGATTTAGGGTTCTACAAAATCGAATTAATCGAAAATCAAATCAAGACATATATGTTTTATATACTAGGAAACGGAAACCGTTGTGAGTCCAGAGCGAAGTATTTTTGTAGATTAGAGTTTCGAACTTGATTGAATGTAACACAATAGATAGAATAATGAATGTAAACACAATAAATATGTAAAAAAAAATATATTAATAAAAGTATCGGTATCACGTGATCGGAACATTAACAATAATTATATCATATCATGTACTGTAACACTTTCATGTTATCTTATGTTTATCACAGATTTGTTTATCAGTGTAGCACAAAATTTCAGTGACGTGACGCGTGCGGACAAACGGACTTCGCCACGTGACATGGTTACACTTAACATTCACAAACATATATAGTCCTCCGCTTCGCTCCGGACAATTATCTTCATTTGTTTATTTAAACGTTTCTTTCAGGTCATTTCTTCAAAGTATTTCATATGTTAAAAAATTTTTTTATTTGCATGATAAAAAAATTAAAATTATTTGATAAAATTTTGTTACTAACAAAATATTAATTTTATTAAGTATATTTCCCCCTATGTATTTGATCCTATAAACAATAAACCTTTATTTGAATAATAAAAGAAAATTTATATTTAAATATGAGCTCTATTAACATTTTCATATTAAATTTTTATATATTACGTATGAATTTAGCAATTGTAATAGTGTGAAAATACTACTACGGACTTGCAAATATTTATTGACAACGGTGAAACCCAGTACCCGCTGGTTCACATGACAACTCGCTACCGCAATCTTGGTCAGACGCACAAATATCGCCGGACCTAGGACAGCCACCGAGCAAAGTGTTGAAAAAACTACAACGCTTCACAAGATGGCGAGATTCAACTACAAATTAAAGTATCATCACACATTTAATGCAATGCAGGAAATTGGAATATTTGCAAGAAGTGAAAAGAAATTGACTCTAACCTTCATCTCCCTCAACGACGGGTAATGCGTGAATCGTCATGCCATAAATAATGCAAAAGATAACGGCAATCAAAAAAAGAGATCTCATTTTGTAAGTATTTATATAACTAAAAATTAGAATTTATTTGATGTATAAATTTTCTGTTGTCCAGAACGGAAAATTTTTAGATTTTACTAAAGAACAGAGGTGGTAACGGAGCGGTGTTAATGACAGTGATCAAAGAGAGTGAATAGATCAAATGTATTTTTTCGAAAGGTAATGAAGGTTTAATGATGGAATGAGAGTGTGATTAAATGTAATGTCTGAAAATTAATTTTCCTAGACCTTGGGTGATGTATATATACGAAATTAGAAGTCAAATTAGTTTTATGAGCCGAAACCTTTTTTGGCGAAGCTCGTCCTTTTTGACTTTTTGAAACATTAAATTTTGTTTAACCGTATAGATTGCCTGAACATTTTTCGATATTCATATGTGGCAATATGTTTGCCCTATGGAAAATAAATTTCCGGAATTTGTCCATCCGGATCTTTTGACATAGGATTGTCGGCTAATTCTTTTATCCTTTTTTATGTCATAATAAGTTATTATATTGATAAAGATTTTAAAATAATCAGTAGTAAATTTTTATAATAAATTTTATTCGAACATACTTTTTAAATAATTCGAATAACTTTTGGATTTCGAACGAAAACCTAATCCTTACGATATGTTCATCTCAAAATTAATATTTAACAAAAATATTTCTGAGTAACTTATCTAATTAATATTCAAGATTATTGATCGCTCATATGATCAAAATTTGGTAATCCAAATAAATTAAATATCGGAATTTGATCAGAAAAGATTTAATTTGATTTGCAATAATAAATTAAATGTAAACATTTAATAAATTTATAATGAAAATCCAAAAAGTGTTGGATTGTCAGTACGGTTAAGTTAATAATTCATATTTGCTAACAGGGAGTTTAATTACGTCTAAACTATGAAAGAAATATATACGAGTTTAATTAATTGAAGGATCAGATCGTCTTTATTGATATTTATTTATTGAAGATAATTAGAGAAAGAACTCTTGGTTTATTTTTCAAAACCCTATCTTGAGTTATCCTTTAAAGTACATGATATTTATACAAAATAACTATTAATAATAATAAATGTGTCCTATATAATATATATGTTAAGTATAACTTATATAATAAATAATATATATAAAATAAATTTATCAAATTTAATAAAGTTTACAAAATACTTTAAATATGGATTATCGGTCAAATGTGACCAATTTGTCATATTTGTCAACTATTAATTTGACAATACTTTAATAATGTTAATCTTACAGCTAACACCAGTCATTCGATTTCGATACTCGATAAGGTATAATGGGACCCGCTCACATTTTACCAACAAATCACTTGACAACCAGATCACCTTACGGAACATCATATGATCCGTAAGGTGATTTTAATATCCGATCAATCATTTGATCAACATCATTTACCGAAAATCAAATCAAATATTAAATAAAAAAATAAAAAAATATATAATATTGATAATGGTGGTATTGTACAATTTATATTATAAAGTTTACAGAAAAATTTTCTTTGAACGGAACGATAAAAATGATTGACGCGCAATGAATGATTATGTCGGGTCAAATGATCGGTAAAATGAGTATGATCATGTTGACAGACCCGTTCTGATATTATTGATCAATATTTCGCGAAAAATATAAATTCAAGTTTCATTCAAATTTAGGAATTTATACCGATTTTCACGAGATCAAAATTTTTCTTCTAAGGTGAAGTTGAAACGAAATTGAAAAATTGGAATTCGTGTTACATAAACTGAAAATTCCGTCCAATTGATTTAGTTAATTGTTAAAATCCTGGACTTTGCTTCTCGTAAAATATATAGCGAAATTTATTAATATTTCAATTATTTTGTCTCTAATGATATTATTAATGTACAATGATTTGTGTTTGAATAATAAAAATTTTCATCATAATTATTATTTTTTTATTTATTAAAACAACAAGACGAAAAGAAAATAATTAAATAAAGCATCAAAAATGTCAAAATTAATCTAACAATCTAGGTATATAAGAAACTCAAATGTTATTTTTTAATTTTTATGTCAAATGTTATCGACGGAAATTTTTCTCCTTAATTATCCGTCCAAGCCTTATCCAAAGGAACCCTTTAATACCGCATCCTCGATCCGTCGTTATCGACGACTTTTACGATGGTATTAATAGAATGTATTGTAAAATGATAATTAATTGAATTTGTTTTATTAAATGAAAGCAATGTTCCTTTGATTAATATCCTAAATTTTAATAAACTTTGCGAACTTCCGATTATGTAGGTTCCGACTCCAAGCTCGTGATAATTTTCCCAAATCTTCTTGTGAAATTGCGCCATTAACTATGTCAAGTTGATCTTTCAAAAAAATAATTAAAAGAAAACTTACCAACTAAGTTAGAAAATCAATTCTTTGGGTTTATTGCTTTGCAAAAACTATAAAAATAAATAAAAAAGTTAGTCAACTAGAAAATTTTATAAAAAACCAAAACAAAACATTATGAATTTTTGTTATTCGAAACTAAATTTGACTAAATTAAATGAACTAAGCTAATGTATATTACTTATTACGATGTAATAAGATGTAAAATGCGGAAATGAGGAAAAAACTGATTTACCAATATTCCGGGGACACAAAGTGGCCCGTTAAAGTGCCTAAAAAAACACTCCGAAGAATTGGAAAGACGAACACAACTTGGGGCGAAGATTTTCTATTCATATTAAATTAAGATTAATATCTCTATAAGAGTTGCTGAACTTATGTATAACTTAATTTTAGTGAATAATCTTTTTTTTTCGAGTGGGAAAATAATGTGAGAATTTTTTTAATTATTGGAAATACAGTCACTCTCTAATTGCACCCTCTATAAATGCTCACTTTAAACATAGGCTTTCACAAACTTGGGACTTATATTCTGCACGTGCAAGGAATTTTCCGGTCCTTTCATCTTTAAATGCATGTCACATTGGGGTGTTCGGTCAACTAATTAAATCAAAACTATATATGGTATCATATAAAAATTTACTATTGAATTATTTTTTTGTAATTACAATATAATATATTTTTTTTTTCAAATTACGGGAGACTGGTGGAATTTCCTAGTAACTAATCCGAAATTTTAAAAATTTGATA